TTACTGTTTACTTGCCCCTTGCATGGGGATATGTACATACACATTAAGAGCTGATGTACCAGAGTCAAATTCCTCGTGTGTCTGACACACCTGGCCAATAAAGCAGATTCTGATTCTGATTCTATCAGTGCTTATCGCTGAGGGGCTGACGGCACTCTCTCTGCTCACGGGGTTTGCTGGCTCCAGTGGAAAGGCTATGTCTACTCCCCAAAGAGCATCAGCTTCAAAATCTGTCCTGTGCAGTAAACCTGAGGGACTGACACACAGCAGGATATCAGAGGGTGAGCTCTCTCTTTTCTCTGTTGTCTACTCACATAATCTTTAGAAAGAAACAAAAAGTCTTGTGTTGGTGCAGAGAAAGGCCTGGACAGGTGGGAACTCAGTGGAGGCTCCAGAGGAACAAACACAGACCAGTTTCCATGAGAAACATCACATTCAGTTGTTGAAGTGATGGAGAACCAAAGGACTGATGAAGCTGACTTGTATCAGAACGAAGAACAGTTTTAACACATTCCACCACCAGATGTCTCTACTGCTTGTAGGAGCTCATCTAGTTGGTAACACACTGAGAATGTGTCTGTGGTTTCAGTGGGACACCAACTACACAAGGCCTCACGCTATCACATGATGCTGCTGGTTGTTGGTTTTCCTATTTTCGGCTGCAGAAGGGTGATCAAAAGTGTCGCTGCTTTTCTCGGTCCACTCTACTGGTTGATGTTCCCTGCAGTCAGACTAATAACCAGTTTCTACACAGCATCTGGTTGAGGTTTGAAATCCAGATCAAAGATTTTTATTGTCCAGTCACTCTATGTGCAGGACATGCAGAAAATCAAAATAGAGTCAACGTAGAGTAAAAATAGAATAAAAAGAATAAGAAAACTCAAAGTGATTAGGATAAAAGTAAATGGTACAACCTAATAGGCTATGACACAAACCATGTACAATCAGTGACAGTAGTGCAACTAATAACAAGAATACTGTGACTCATTATCTGTCCCAAACAGATGTTATTTATTCATACTGGACAGTATAAAACCTTTCATGCTTCCACATACAGCTCCATGCAGGTATGTGAGGTTAACCTGGCAACCTGCAAAAGCATTTGGTAATAAACAGAATTACACATGTGGCTCATGCTGGGTCATGACTAACATGAACAGGGTGATCTACAGAGACTAGCTGCCAATAGCTTGAGCCAGCCATCACTACAAGGACCAGTGAGACACAGATGGTTATTACTTTCATTTGTTATACAGCCTTAAACATGAAGGGAAAACTCTAACACACCCACAGAAGAAAATCCAAAGCCTCTTTGGTGTTAACATTCTGGATTTCACTTACAGACCTAATGACAGGGTCAAAAATCAAATTATTCACATTATTGCTGATGCACAAGGAGATTAAGACGGGATCAACAGTAGGGAATGGATTAAATCACGCTGCAGTGGGTTTTGCTGAAGACAGAGGAAGTGGCTTCATGTGATGACTACAGGCCTCGGTATGCTTCAGTGCCTGTAAGTTTTCAATTTTTATAACGTCTTAAACTGACAATGCAACAATTACACAGCTCACTGGGGTGTGCAGAGTCTAAACTCTCTCATGCTTCTTAACAAAACTACTTCAGACACTTTTTGTTGATGAGTACAACATCAAGTCAAGAATTCCTAGCACAGGACACGCCGGCTGTGGTCTGTGACCATCAGATGCTTGGGCACCGACTGCCGTGACGCTGTTGTTTTCAGCTGTCGGTTTGGTCAACAGACAAAAAAACAGACACAGGGCCTGTCTTTACTTAATAAAACTTCTCCCTAACTCCATTATAAAAACTTGGACCCTTGCTGACTTCAGATCTTTTCTAACAAAGACCAAGCCTGTACATCTGAACTCTAATCTCACACAAATGTTACTATCAGGCTACAGTTCTTGACACTTCCAATCAACCTGATCTAAACCCAGAATGTGCTGGTGATTCACTGTTGCTGTTAGCGCAGCGTTGCCTATTCTCCCTCTGTGAAAGCAGATGTAGGCTGTCTACTGTGGCTTTGTCAGGATGGATGTTCGCAGTGTTTTGAGGGGGAGGGAGCATCCTGTGCTGAAACCTTTTTCAGTTTTAGCTCAGTTACGTATAGAAACGTTTAGAGAACAATGATCAACTTTTATAGTAAAATTTAGGCTTCCTGTTCCAAAATACTAGGCCCTGAAGTGATTGCATGTTTATAAAATCATGTGTTTTTTTGTAATATACATGACCAACACCTTTTATAAACAGTGCTGTCTATGTTTTTTCAAAACATTTACATGTTAAAATAATATATTTGGTCTTATATTAATACACGTGTCTGGAAAATATTAAGCAATATGACTGTAAGGGCTAATGGTCAAAAATATTACTCATTCAAAAAGCCACATGCATTCATGACTGAGGTATTCTTCAAATCCTGGCCCAGGCCCTTGAGAACAGCACTGGTTGATCAAAGCTGAACCATGTGACAGGATTTAGTTTCAAATTGACATTTTCATCATCAAAAACATAAACATCTGCCCTGACAAGCGATGCACTTCCATCAGTAAAAGGTTATTCAAACTTCATACTTCTTTACCATCCATGCTGGGAAGGCACAAAGGTGAGAAGACACGATGGAGGTGTGAGCATGACTCTGAGGTGTCCTGGGGCCTGTACCACGAAGCCACATCAGTGGCCTATCCAGCTAACTTTGGGCTCAGCTCAGGTTTGCTGGTATTATGAAGCTGGCTAACTTTTTAGATCACCATGGTGACTTATGCTTCACAGCTATCCTGCTCCGGAGCAGGCTAAGTTCAGAGGATCGGATCAAAATCTGTCAACAGCCTGAGCACTGACCAATCTGATCACTGGAAAAACAGTGGTTATATACTGGATCCTGACTGGGTCTTCATGAATGTGATAAGCATTAGACAATTCCATCGAGCAGTCATATCACTATGCTGTTCCAGGCCTTCCATGGGTCACTGACAAATAGAGAGTCTACAGCTACATGGTGATCAGTGCTGGGTTTTAAATGCACAAAGATAACCAGCTTCGTGGTACCCGTTATCCAAGACACTCCAAGTTACACTCAGTGAAGCCAGATCACCCCGAAGAGCCAGAATACATTGAACTCGCTTTGTGGCACAGGCCTCCAATGTCCCATAACAGCTGAACTGGTTGATTCAGAACCAAACCACTTGCAAATTAAAAGCTTAAAAACATTTTTGGCATATGTATGTTTCAATTATGTACTTGTGTTGCCGGGGTGTAGATGTGACTGAACCCTAGCAGGAGGAACAGCATTTAAACCCAGTGCAAACCCTGAACAAGAGTGTCACTGTCGAAACTGAAGGTCACAGCAAAGCGTCACCCAACAGTCTTCACCCATGATGAGAGCGGGGCTTGAAATTTCAGTCCAGCACTTTTCCTGGTTTCTCCAGTCGAAAGTCAACAGGAGAGTTAAAGGGGTTGATGGTGTGTCAGTCACTCCAAACCTGTCACACCGAACATTCAGTTCAGATCTTTTTATTTCCATGGCTCGTCCTAATAACCTGGCATTTGGAGGCAAGCCTCCGCTCCCACTCCTCCTCCACCACTTTGTACAGCTCCATAGCAGCTCTAGCGTCTTCCACAGAAGAGTGTCCCTTCTTTCCGGTCTGGGGACACAGAGAGGACGAGTTCAGCATCACATGGTCACATTTATTAAATCACAGTGTCATTAGCGGAAACACTAATTCTCATAACTCGACGGGACCTGTTGTGCCTTTCTGGTTCATGTCCATTACTATTAACTCCTTCATGACTAAAGTTGATTTCAGCCGCCTGTTCTCCTTCTTCAGGCAGTAACCTAACATTTCATCTGGTTAAATTTTGTGCTAGTGTTAAAAACTGACATCACTTTTGTGGCCTGCAGATTTCAGCCCTTTTCAGACACTGAATTAATAACTTTGGTGGCTTCGTCTCTCCAGTAAAGTGCTGGCTTTGTGTCATTTAGACAGAGTTTGTTATGGATTCATGACACAAATATTAAGAGGAGAGCTGCTCTTCACTTCTGATTAGTTGTACCACATTTTATTTCTTTTCATGTTTTTTGCCACTGAAGCCTTGTAGGTAGGCGTAGGTCAGCCACATTTTAGAAGCCCAACACAGAATCATAGTAGTTACACATGTAAAAAGCAGGAATACAGACTTAGTGTATCTGTTGCATCAGATATCTGCGAGCTGGGGGACCGAAAACCGTGGTGGAAACGTTGCTGACCGACACAGTTGCAAGGCTCACCCCTGCTTCTCATGGGAAAGCCACCGACACGTTGCCATCAAGGTACTGCACCACACAGTGAGCTCTGCTCCCTCTTTCATCAAGTTAACAGCAAGGAATGACAAGTACTGCTGGTCCGAGTACTGTGCTATTTTAAGGAGGATTTTTCCTAACCAGTCATTTTGATTTGATTTTGATTTATTTATTCTTTCAAGCATGTAAAGACAGTTGATATGTCAACACACATAATTTTACACATATCCAACAAATGCTAATCCAATATCAATTTGCTTATACCTAGTACATGCTTGAATGGAGTAGGAAGAAATCAGACTTATCCAGTCCTACCCCATGACATCATCTTACCATCATTGGTTTACAAGCAGTATCTCTACATAAATAATTCTCTTCTACACCACACAAGTAATATACTAAAAAAATTATAACAGAGTGTTAACATTCTTACATAATTACATTCTTAAATAATTATCTTCTACACCACACAAGTAACATACTAAAGAATTAATACAAGGTGTTAACATTCATACACCACACCCACAATGTTCCATCTAATTAATCATTAAGC